AGGTTAATTGCACTTCTACTTTTGTTAATTTTTTCATCTAGTTCAACCCTTACCCTGCAAAATATCATCAACCCCCATGCATATTCTATTTACCTCTGTGGTTTATGACGCACTTGGTATCATGACAAAGCAAGTATAACGAGAATGGGTCAATGATTGTTGTAAAAATTGTATGCTTCTTGGCCGTTATTCTAATTAAGGTTATTATGACACTTTATATGGTTTTGGAATTAATACTGTTTTAGGGTGCTGTAAGCTATAGGTTCAAGAGATGTTAGTGTTCTTGTGTGGCAGCTTTTATTATTATCCCAAACAAAACCGTGATATCAACTATAATAATAGGGTCTATCAACTGTGCTCTAGTATTTTCTAGAATCAAGCTCTTTTAGTGCACGAGCGGAGCCAGAAAATTGAGGGAACTCCAATGCTATATCTCAACAAAATAACAGGTGTAGCAAATATTGTTGCTAAACTTGAATCTATAGAACATTTGCAAGAGTGTCAATGATAGGTAATACTCTATCTTGGAACAAAGTAACATGTGTAGCAAATATTTAGCATTTGTGGCAAATTTGATGTCGTTGATCGTGAGAACTCCAATGCTATATCTCAGCAAACTAACAGGTGTAGTAAAAATTGCTGCTAAACTTGAATCTATGGAACATTGCAAGAACGTAATTCAGGGATAGGCAATACTCTATCTTGGATTAAGCATCCACTCTTTGATAACTCATTTTCATTGCATTTTCTATTCTAAAAAGCAAAAGGCACGTTATTAACTCAACTTCTTTTTGGATTTTATTGATGCTCATGTCTTTTGTGGGTGTTAGAGTCTATCAATGTATGTTTATCTTCCGCTTTTATCTGATTTATTTCTTCTTGGATATATTAAAAATGGTCGTTGTTTTCAGTTTGCCCATGGTTGAGATTTTAGGATTGGTCTTAGTATGATATCTGAGGATGCTGAAAGTGGAGCAATTTATCCTGGAAAGGTCAGAAAAATAAT